AAAGCCAACATGAAGCCCGTGGTTCACAATCTGAATATGCAATATGGCGATAGGTTCGAGCAAGACCACACACTGAAGATAATAGTCAGATTAACATGATGATGAAGCTAACCCAAAGCCTTAATATTCATACAGCGACATCTTCCGCCCAATGAAAGGGAATTGATTGCTCTTCATCAGTGAATTATCGACGTCTCGCATTGGAATTATGAAGACACGTGCCAGGGACGAGCCTCAATTCGCAATGCACCGCCTCGATACTCAAGCCCGGATCCAAACCTGTCACAACAAAAGACGGTTCCGTCAGCAGATTATGACTCCATTGAGCGAGGTAAGAAAGTTAATCGAATTCAGGATTATCCGAGATGAACAACATTCCGCACTGTTGCCAACATCGTTCCCGTCATGAAGAAAATGGCAAAATCAGGATTGCCACGACTTCAGGAACACTGAATGAAGCATCTCTAGAAGAACGATTCCGCTCTCACGATACTGGATGATCATGGATCGACGAGAGCGAGAGTGAGAGAGCATGAGTGGTATTTTCTGGGGATATAAACCAGATCAAGGCATGGCATCGCAGAGAAGAGAGCATACGGCATTTAGAAAACCACGCTCGGGCGTTTCTGACTTAGCACGGTGAATGCTCTGTTCGCCTGAAGATGCCGGTGCCATACAGTGACCACGCAGAGGCGATGACTAATATTTCCAAAACCTCTCAGGAAACATCGAATGTTACTTGAATGTGAGTTGGAGTTGTGAAAAGCCGCAACAAGGAAAGACGTCGACTCAAGGATATTGAAGAACAATTCGGAATCTCATGAGGAATCATCAGTTAAAGATGAACCCTCGATAAATCACTCTTTGAAATGTCCGAGAAAAGTGTGTGCGTCACCGACTCACCAGGATATAGAGAGAGCCCTGATAAGGTGAAGCGATAACATGAGAGGTTGCAACCGCCCGAGATCTGAGAGAACTCAGAAGGATCAAGGCGTTAGGGCTTATATCCGGCGTTCTATCAAAATCTTCTGGAAGTGAGCAAACCGTCTCTAAGCGACACAAGAAAGAGTCACATTCATCTGGGATGATGCATGTGCCAAAAAGCGTTCGAGATATCCAAACATATCTGCGAACACCATCCTTTCCTGTGCACTTCGCCGAAATCTGGCAAACTCGCTGCCGATTTATAATCAAGCATGCAAGCCACCCATAAGCCTTACTACGGCAAGACCGAGATAGACGTACGAACAGGGCAGTTATATACCTCAGTCGACTTGTAGGCGCTGAGGTCCGATATCCGATCGATTGAGTAAAGAAACTGGCATTGGTATTGCGGATTCAAAAAGATGCGCATTACTTTGGCAACAGACGAGTCTAGTTATGTATCAACGTAATATCATAACGGTGGCCCCGTGTTTATGACGCAACCGGCCTCTAGATTGCAAGCTAGCGAAGTGGCCGCTTCTCTTGTCCCAATACGATCTTGCACTTCATGCAACAGAAAGTCGAAAAAGGACAGGCATTGTGACCTTTTGCCGGGCAAAGCCCGACCACAGATACGCAGAAGTAATGATACTGCCGGATGAAACCCACGAGGTTAACACCACAATCACACCAACAAGTATGCAATATACTTCGAGGCCTCAAGGGCATTAATACGAGTAATAACCGCCGGGATTCGCTGCGTTCCTTGGAGTTGGAGTTGTCTTGATCTCCCCGGAAAGCTGATGCCTCGGGCTTATCGTACTATTCCGTGCTCAAATACTGTGGCCGAATACAACGCCTTCCTCATGGACCAAGTTTCGCCAAAGAGCTGGGGGTCGATGTTTCGAAGCTTTTGGATTCGCAATTGATATTCACAATCGCGGCAGTTGAGTCAGGAACCAAGACCTGACCGATACCACAGGAAGCCATCAAATGGCATAATACTTCGAGAATTCTTTATGAATATCTCCCTCGTCTCCAGAACGCGTAGCCAGACGCACTGGCGCACAAC